TGGTAGCCCATCTGGCCAAGAAAGCTAATCCATCTGTATCCGGGGATGGGTGAGCAGGCAGGGCTGGGGGAGAAGGACTCCAAGGGGCATGGGGAAACTTCATGATGGTGAGAATGTTCCTTTTTTTTTTTTTAATATTTTTATTTAAGTATAGTCAGTTTACAATGTATCAAGTTCTAGTGAATATGTTCTTTATCTTCATCTTTGTGATGGTTTCAGGAGTATATTTACATATGAAAATTTACTAAACTGGGTACTTTAAATGCATACATTTTATTGTATGTCAATTCTATCTCAATAAAGCCTTTTTTAAAGCTTGAAAACATGCTAGTTGTGTGTGTGTGTTTGTGTGTGTTTATCCTATCAGATTGTCAAAAAATAAACAAGATAATTACTTCCAGTCCTGGCAAAACTGTGAGGAAACCAGCTCGCTATCGTGGAAGAAGGAATTGGCGCAAGACTTTCTGGAATTAACTCTCGCAGTACCCTTTAGAAAGCATTTCTCTTCTGTGATGAAGTGAAATTGGATGTGCTCCTTATTCAGCTGTTCTTAATTAGGATCCTGTTAATTTATTTCTCTTCGTGGCTCAGTAAAATGGAGTTCCACGCATTTGTCTTTTGTTTCTAAGGCCAACTAATGAATTTCCAGAGCCTGGGCCTTAAAAACGAAAGCTGATGCAGGAACCGAAGAAAGTGTTAAAAATGCCTCCTTCCCCCTGAAATCATGGAAGGAAAGATGTCATTCTGAGTTATAAAACTTGATGGAAGAATCTGATTTGATAAGCTGTTGAATTCACGTCACTTACTCGTGTATAAATCTTGTTTTCTGTACAAAACTAGGGCCTGTCTGAACATTCCCACTGTTACCAACTTCTCAGTTCTCAGTCACAATGAATCTGTTATTTAAACAGAGGAGTCTTACAATGTTTCTAAGACTTTAGAATTTGTTGCCACGGCTTCTGAGAACAACTTCCAGTAGAAACTTGAACTCTTGCTTGCTGGTCTTACCGGTAACTGTGTAATCACAATTCTGGATTCCTACACAGTGCAAGTGCAGAAGACAGTTTGCATCTCTGCTAGATTTCTCACCTTGATTATCTTGATTGAAGCTAAGAGTCTTGTCTCACCTTCAACAAGATCTCTGAGGTAATGATTCTACTTCTAGGCAATGTACATATCAGAAATAAATGGACCCTGTTGTTACAGACACAAGAATTCTTCTTGAGGAGAAACTGGAAAATCCCAAAATATCCAGCAAGAGGGAAAGAGGCAAACACTTACACTGCCTGACAATGAGGCCATTTAAAAAAAATGAGCTCATTTTCATTGGCTTGAGAAAATGTCCATGACATGACATTAGACAAAAAAGTGCAAATTTGCAGCAAAATGTCTTTGACAGGGTAGGCCAAGAGGGAAGTGACACGCAGTTTGTACTTCACACAATCCTTTTAAGTCTGTGGGATGGTGCGTGACTCCTCTCCGTTCAGATTTTTTAAAACGAAATAGTATTTGCACAAGCGTGGCGAGGAGAGGCATTTGTTTAAGATGCACCCAAGTCCACAGGGCTTGAGTCTATCGGGATTATGAGTCATTTTAAATTCCTTATTTGATATTTTATTTAACTTGGACATTTTCTACAATGAAGTGCTTTTGAAACTGGAAAATCGGGTTTTGGGTTTTTGTTTTCCTTTTTGTAAGTCTGTTTAATGAGACTCCTCCCACTGGCATATCGTGTGATGAGGCCAGAGGGCAGCACCAGCCCCTGAGGGTGGCGCTGGGACTCCCCCCAAAGGGACTAGCGGTCCTTCTCCCAGCTCTTCCGTGGAGAGTTGATCCAGGTCGAGCACTGAGGGGCTGGGAGACTTGGCCCTAGGCTGGGCGGAAGGAAGGCAGCATCTTCTCTTCCTGAAGGGCTGGGGCCGACCTAGAGCTTCGGCCAGACCCCAAGCGCAGCTTCAGGGAGCAGCCAGGAGCAGTGGGAGGGGATCTGGTGCTGGCCCCCTGGGACGGGCTGTAAAATTTCATCCCCTCACTGGTCTGGGCCTTGCGGTGGGGGTGCGCTTGAGAGCAACTTGGCGGGGAGGGTACAGCTCAGTGGTAGAGCGCATGCTTAGCATGCACGAGGTCCTGGGTTTGATTCCCAGCACCTCCATTAAATAAAATAAAATGAAATGAAATAAAATAAAATAAGTAAAGCCTAATTACCTCCCCGCCAAACAAAAACAAAACAAAAAACTTTAAAAAGAAAGATACACACACACACAAAAGAGCAAACTGACTCAGTTTGCAGAAGAGCAGCCCCCTAAAGGAGGCGACTGGGTGGGTGGGGGCAGCGTTTGCCCGGGAAGACGTCATGGGTCACAGGGGAAATGAGACCTGGGCCAGGCTGGGTCAGCAGAGGGGCTTCCTCAGAGGCGGGCAGAACCTGTAACCTGGAGGTCAGGAGGTGTCTCCCAGCAGAATCCCGTCAGCCCCCATGCCCTCGGGTTGCCTTGCCGCCTGTGAGACACAGACCCCGCCCGCTGTGTGCAGGAGCCCTGGGGTCCTTCCCTAGCCCGCGCAGGGGCCCCACTCAAGCAGGGCCTCTGCCTGCTGGGGGGTGGGCAGCTTCATCAGATGCCTCTGCCGCACGCCCTTCCCCTGGAAGCAGCGAGTGCCACAACCCCCGCTCCCGCATGCAGAGGTGGAATTCAGAAGAACAGGACAGGAAGGGGAATTCACTTTTTCCAAAGCGATCCAAGGACCGTTCCAGAATTGTCTGGCAGGGGCTGAGCTGGCTTGTGAACTTCTAGACTGGCTGGTCACACCATGGTTTCCGTTACCACAGATTAACTTTACCTGTTGTTGAACTTCATAGAAACAGTGATGGCAAATTGAAATCATACTGGAGTAACCACAGTTCAGGTGCACAAAAATGGCATCAGACAGCCATTGATAATCTGGTCTCAGACATGTCTCTGTCCCACTGAGAACTTGAACTTTCTTTGAACTGTACCAAACCCAAGGACACCACCAGCTGTTCAGAACAACACCTGCCAGCTGCAGCCTTATGGTCTCAAGGTCTCCTGTTGTAACTGTACAACCATTTCAGACCCCAACCAATCCTTACTTAATAAGCACCCTCCCTTCTTGCCAGCTGCAATTACAGTTCTTGATAAATAACTCACGTGACTAACTAACCTTGCATTTTTTGCCTTTATAAGACTCCAGCATTTTGTAGCCTGGTGGAACACAACTCAAGTCCTTCCTTAATCTGTGTCTCCCGGGTTACAGTCCTAACAAACCCCAAATAAACACTTTTACATTTCAATCAGGTCTGTTACTAAAATTTTTGTTAACTATAGAATCATACACTGTGTTCTCTTTTACGTCTGACTTTTTTCATACAACATTATGCCTGCAAGATTTATGTCTTTTGCTGCATGTATCTGTAGATTATTTTTTTCATTGTTGTGGATTCTTCCACTACATGACTATACCACAATTTATTTACTTATTATGCTAGCGATGGATCTTTGGTCGTTTCCAGCTCGCAGCAGTGATGAGAAAAGCTGCTATGAACATTCCCACCCGTGTCTTGTAGGACATAAACCCTAATTTTTTTGGATACACACACCCAGGAGTGAAATTGCTGGGTCATGGGACATACGTATGCTCAGCTTTAGTAGGTACTGCCTAAAATTCTTCCAGAATGGTTGTGCCAGCCACAGTATTTTGCTGCCCACCATCATCCATTTAAAATATACCTGATTATTATTGTTTTTCTAGGTTCTTGGGCCAACAGAAGTTAAATAGACAAAAATAATAAGGAAGTTCACAGAAGACCTAAACAACGTAATTAGCAAAATAGAATATGTACTTACTTTGCAACCAAGTAAAAGAGAATATGTATTTTTAAAGTGTACTTTGAACAGTCATAGCTCTGCAAATCACATGGTCACAATGAATGTTCAAGATGATAAAGTAGAAATCACCTAAACAAATTTCTCTCATCACGATGCAGTAAAACCAAACTAAGAAAAGACTTACCCTATGATCCAGCAATCCCACTCCTGGGCATAGATCAGAGGGAACTCTAATTCAAAAAGACACCTGCACCCCAATGTTCATAGCAGCATTATTTGCAATAGCCAAGACATGGAAGCAACCAAAATGTCCATTGACAGATGACTGATAAAGAAGATGTGGTATATTTATACAATGGAATACTACTCAGCCATAAAATCCAACAACATAATGCCATTTGCAGCAACATGGATGCTCCTAGAGAATGTCATTCTAAGTGAAGTAAGCCAGAAAGGGAAAGAAAAAGTACCATATGATATCACCCATGTGGAATTTTTTTAAAAAGAAAGAAAAAACAAGACACTAATGAACTCATCTACAAAACAGAAACAGACTGGCAGACATAATAAACAATGTTATGGTTACCAGGGGTAAGGGGGTGGGAAGGGATAAATTTGGGAGTTTGAGATTTGCAAATGTTAACCACTATATATAAAAATACATAAAATAAATAAAATAAAATAAATGTAATAAAATCAGAAATTTAAAGTTTTTCCATCTTGAAAGGAAAAAAGATCTCTTGTTAAACAGTTAGGGGGAACCCAGCTACAAATGAAAGAACTTCTGAAAATGAGCGATGATGGAAACACTGCATGTCGGAATCTACGGGAAACAGTAACAGAAAGAAACGACCACAGCTCTGAGTACTTTGCTCCAACACAAATCTCAAAATGAAAATAAATCCGTGAAGTGTGGCTTCACCTGGGTTTTGCAGAAGGCGGTCTGAGGCAAACATGGAGGCAGCGCTGCTTTTCCCTGGGAAATGCAAACCAGGCAGCAAGGAGGGCGGGGCGCAGCGTGCAGTGACGCACTGCACAGCGAGCCGCAGACAGATAAGCAGACGCTGGGCAGGCGAATTTGCTTGGCCCGTGGGGCTTCTTTGGATAAACCAGTAGGAGAAATTCTCCTCGGCACTTGGTGAAAGGGAAGAAGGGGGGACGTGTGTCTGCCTAGACACCGTCAGCTTTCCATTGGCCAAAGTTTGCCCTACGAGGACTTAACTTTCCCACCCTTCTAAGCTGCTTCGTTTGGTCCTTCAGGGCCAGTCAGGTGCAGACCATGCAGCTGGGGGCTCTGCGGTGCTTCACCCAGAGGAGTGCAGAGGAGGCCAACATTCCACATATGTCTGGTAGGTCTGACTACATACTGGTCGCCAAGGGGAAGAGTCCGGCATCCTCAGGGCACCTGGTTGACCTGTCCCAGGGGCCAGAACAATCTGGGCCCTGCTCGAGTCAGCTGGGAGCAGAGACAGCTGGGGAGGACAAGGGTCAGAGAGGTTCAGGAAGTGGGCTGCACTGCGGGGATCTGGTGCGTAGCACCCGTGTCCATTACAGTCTGTCCTCTGCTCCCCTGGGGCTGTTAGTCTCCTTCCACGTTATAATATGGGGGCCCTTTCTTTCCCCCTTTTAAAGGAGAACAGGATGGTGTCATTCCAATCAATCACAGATTCCTTTTCTAGGTGATGGCCAGCAGCTATCTCTTGGAAGTCTTAAGACGAGATGTCCCAGAGAATCCCCAAGTTCCAGACAGTCTCCTCCCTGCCTCCGCTGGGTGGGAGCAACCATGGCGTCTCGTGGTGGTTGGGATCTAGTACCTTTCTGTCTCTGGTCCATTGGCATGAGGAGGTCAATGGTAATTACTGGAAACTTTACCAGTGGTAATTAGCAGCCAAGTGATAATTACCGAAACCTGTGGCTCCCAGCTTTCAGTGTTCTCTCCTGGGAGGGAATTCAGGAACCATAACCTGACAGAGTTTTAGGGACAAGAAGCACAAATTCCACAGGTGGGTCATCACTGACCCAAGTCCATCATTTTTCCATCAGTTGGTTATCGGGAACTCCCCGCGGGACCGTGGTGGGGGTGGAGAGAGAAGCTGCGGTGCATCTGTCGGTATAACTCACTCCTGTCTGCCAGACTGGCCTGAGCCTGGCTCTGGAAGTCACTCCCATGACACGACAGATGGCTCCTCTGCATGCCTGCCCTCTGACTTTCTGATGACTAAGTGGGTCAGATAACAGCTCAGGACAGTGAGCACTTGTGCGCAGTCACTTGTGCCGGGCCCCATGCTGCGTGTCTCCCAGGAGCTGTGTTGTAAGCGCTGGGGTGGGTGTGGGCCCGCCCCACACTCTAGAGGCTGCAGCTCTTACATCCAGGCTTGCTGGAGAATCCAAATAGCGTTCAAATCCAGGCCTGAGGTTTTTATTTCCATTAGACCTGGGGGATCTTGGGGCTCACGAAGCATCCTGAACTTGCTGCAGAGCTCTCTCCTGCTCTGGGTCCTATTCAAAACTGGAAGTCTCATAAAAAACAATTTTATGATAGGTTACCAGTGGGGAAGCGGGTGAGAAGGGATAAATTAGGAGTTCAAGATTTGCAGATACTACTATATATAAAATAAACAACAAGTTTCTTCTACAGCACAGGGAACTCTATCCAATGTCTTGTAGTAACCTATAATGAAAAAGAATATGAAGAGGAATACATGTATGTGTATGTATGACTGAAACATTATGCTGAACACCAGAAATAGATATAATGTTGTAAACTGACTATACTTCGATAAAAATTTTTAAAGACCAAAAAAAAGCTGGAAATCTCTGGATCACTCAATAAATGGGTGCAATATTATTGCTTCCAAAATGCAAAGAGCCCCCTTACAGAGCTGGACCTCTTTTTCAATGGTAGGAGATGTAAGAGACAGCAATCTTCCCTTCCCTTCCCTTCCCTCCCTAGAGGGGCTGCTTCAGCATGCCCGGACCATTGGACTTCTAAAAGCTTCACTGATGTGCCAGTCCACTGAACAGACTTCAGGGTTTAATTCCCCGTTATCTCGCACATATGAGACTCACTAGCATATCCAAAGTACTTGCCTTTTCTTACTGAACAAGTCCAATTAGCACGATGTCATCAACAGAGTGAATGAGCACGACGTCGTGCAAAATATCAGGACGCCCAGACCAGACACCTCTGCAGACTATACTGGGGCAGAGAGGGGCAGCCACCGCCGGGGGCCAGGCACGTTTGGCCGGTCTCAGAAGGGAAGGTTCTGTGAATACCCCTGTCCAGTGCCCCCCGCCCCAGTATTGGAGTTTGACATCTCAACACAGGTCAAAGTACTTGGCTTGTGACACTGGCCTTCTGTGTGAGACCTGACCTGGGGTGGGTTCCCAGTGCCTCAACCTGAAGGAGTCAGCAGATGGAAGCTCCATTTGAATCATGCAAGTGGTTTCGACCTGAGTTTGGTGTCCTCAAGTTTTGTCACAGGGCAGGTGGTGAGGGGTCGGGTGATGCACCGGACAAGGAACTGAAGTGGGTGACGGGTGCTTCCGCCGCCGAGTGGGAAAGGGGTGGGCGTGAAAGCGACTGAGAAGAGGCGGCACACACACACACACAGACACAATCACACTCATACGTACACTCACAGCCACATATCACACTCACACACTCACATACACACCAGCTCCCACACCCCTGACCAGCCCTGCAATGCTGGACCTGAATCCTGATCCTGAGGCTGGAATGGGCTGTGTGCCCAGCAGGACCCGAGGAGTCACCCAAATCAGGGGAACAGAGCCTCAGCCAGAGGACCCAAGGGCATCCCTTCTGGACTTCAACCTTTCGGGATCTTGCACTAATTTCCACAGGGTTCTAAGACTAGGCCCAAGTTGGGAGCATCAGGGACCAAATGAGGCCCCTCCCCAAGGCTGAGGCTCCCCTTGGCGGCCAGGAATGGATATCCCGGGCCTG